TGTCTCACTCTGTCACCCAGACTGAAGTGCAGTGGCACACTCCCAGCCACTGCAGCCTCCTCGACCTGCTGGGCTTTGGCGATCCTTCCGCCTCAGCCTTCTAAGTAGCCAGAACTACAGGCGTGCACTACCACACCTGGTTAATTTTTTATTTATTGTAGAGATGCGGTCTCACCAGGTTGCCCAGGTGGGTCTTGAACCTGTGGGCTCAGGCAATTACTCACCTCAGCCTCCCAAAGTGCGGGATTACAGGCTGAGCCACTGAGCCTGGCTTCAAAATATTTTTAATTGGTCAAGCTTGGTGGCTCAGCCTGTAATCAGCACTTTGGGAGGCTGAGGCAAGTGGATTGCTTGAGCCTGTGGGTTCGAGACCCTGGGCAACTTGGTGAGACCTCGTCTTTACAATAAATCAAAAATTAGCCAGGCATGGTAGCACATGCCTGTAGTTCTGGCTACTTGGAAGGCTGAGGTGGAAGGATCTCTCCAGCGCCTCAGCAGGTCGACACTGGGGTGGCTGCGAGTGTGCTACTGCACTCCAGCCTGGGTGACAGAGTGAGACTCCATCTCTCTCTCTCTCTCTCTCTCTCTCTCTATCTATCTATATATATATACACACTTTTTTTTTTTATATGTGGAGAAGCAATAGGCAAGTTGCCTTCAGTGGAGGAGACCTGCTCAGGTGTATTGTGGGAAAGGGGCCTCTGGAACCACCCTTTAACAATTACTGTTTGCATCTGCCTGTCTGTGTAGGCAACCCTGGTGTATCCCTAAGATAGAGCCTTCCTACTCAGTGGGAAGACTGAGATAACCATTCCCAGAGAGGAAAGTCAAGGGGGTGGGTGCTTTTCTCCCTTACCACTTGCACCTGCCCCTGAAAGAAAGTGTATACAGTTTGTCATTGGTTTCTGAACTGAGGCTGAGCAAGATTAGTACTTGTTTATTTTGAGCTGCTTATCTTCAGTTGCTAATGTTTGGACAGTGTGCCATTCCCTGGAATCTTGGGAACAAGAGTGAAGTTTGGGAAGCCATCCTTTCATTCCTCTGACCGCAGGCAGAATGGCCCCAACTTGGAGAAGCTACTTTTCTTCTGATATCCAGCAGATGCTATGCTCTAGTAATTCATGCCGTCATCATACTTCTGAATGATCAGAACTGACTTTGTGGGCCCTTATGTCTCTCTTTCAGGTCTAACTTCAAACTTGTGGCTGTTAATTCAAAACTCTATGCCATTGGAGGACAGGCCGTTTCTAATGTTGAGTGTTACAATCCTGAGCAAGATGCATGGAATTTTGTGGCACCCTTACCAAATCCTCTGGCTGAGTTCTCTGCATGTGAGTGTAAGGGGAAGATTTATGTCATTGGAGGATATACTACCAGAGGTAAGTAAAGGGCCAAGTAAAGGGTCTGCTTATGCGTGGGCTTCAGCAGCCCAGGAAGGACAGAGGGGTGCCAGAGGAGGATAATATTTGGACATAGAAAATATATAATATATTGTATATATGACACATCTGGAAGGAGAAGAGTCCTGTATAGCAGGGGTGGGTTAGTTAAGAGTGGCCTTTTATGACCTTGTGTGAGCATGGAAGTTGAATGGGGTAGGGAGAGTTGTGAAGAAAGTATATGTTTTCGTTCAGTTGGCTTGTGACTTGGTGGGGCCTGGTTTGTGGGGTTGCTCTTTGAGGTTGGGTAGGTCTTTGGAGGAGCATCATCTGGGTAACTCCCATCCTCCTTTCAAATCCACCCCCATACAACACCGTGGAATTTAGGGCCGGGGCATCCTTGCAGATTTTTGTCTTCATTTTCTCCCTTTGTGAGCACCAACGCATCACATTCAAGTTCTGGAAACCTAGCTCTAGGGCACTGTTCACGTGTCGCAGGAGGAGTGAGTGCGTGAACACAAGAGAGGTCTTTCCTGAGCAGCAGCGGGAGGTGGTTGTGCTATTTATTAAACTGCTCCTGTGTGTTTTTCACTTTTTTTGATGGGCATTTCCTAGCTAATAATTTGAAAATAAAAAACGTCTTCAGCAAGTTTTATACTGTTGTTCTTGGTAGAGCATTATCTCAGGTAAAAGTGGTAGAAAACAATGTGGTTGTGGGAAGAAAGATAATGGTGGACAACCAAGCAGAAGGGTCCTTTCTTTTCCTCCCCCAACTCCCCAGAGCAGTTGTTCCCAAGTTATCTCTTAGCCAAGGAAATTAATTTCAGCATTTGGTCTGTCTGACCATTTAGAGGCCAGAACGTATGGAAAACGTTTAACTGGACTCTTAGGACTTTTAGTCACATAAAAGTAGTAGAGTCACCATTGCATTTGACATAGTGAAATAACTTGCCACTCCTTCATGGTACAATGTGGGCAGAACAGAGCTCTACCACTTTGGCTGATAACAACTATGAAGAAGACCCTGTTAGGCTGCGAGTGACCATATGCAACTTCGTAAAGGATAGAAGTCCACATGCTAATATAGTGTTCAAATAGGTGTCAAAAATTATTTTCACTGTATCCAAATATGTCCTGGTCTGGGGATTTATGTTGGAGGGTGAAGTTAAATGTAATGTATTTTATGAGTGTCTAAATTTACCCTTTTTTGGGGGGGATTAACACTTCCTGGAATACCTAATTGCTCTAACTAAATATTTGATTCAGTGGAGAGGATAGTGAGCAGTGTATTAGTTTCTTGTGGCTGCCCTAAAAAATTAGTATACGCTTGGTGGCCTACAACAACTGAAATGTATTTTCTCACAGTTCTAGAGACCAAAAGTCCAAAATCAAGGTGCCAGTGAAGACAAGCTCCTTCTGAGGGCTCTGGGGGAGAATCTTCCTTGTTCCCTACAGCTTCTGGTAGCTCCAAGCATTCCTTGGCTAGTGGCTGTGCAATGCCAGTCTCTGCTCACATGACCTTCTCTGTGTGTGTCTGTATCTTCTCTTTTGTCTCTTATGAAGACACTTGTCATTAGATTTAGGGCCCACCTTGGGTGGTCCAGGATGATCTCATTTCAAGACCATTAACTTAATTAAGGACCTACAAAGACCCCTTTGCCAAGTAAAGTCACATTCATAGGGGATTAGGAGGTTGACATATCTTTTTAGAGGCTACCGTTCAACCCACTATTGGCGACTTGTGTATTTATATATTTGAGGCAAGACCATGATAAAGAGGACCTCATTGGAAGCAGTGAGCTTTTTTTTTTTTTCTTTTTGCTCCAAGTTTTCATTGCTTGTGGAGCTATTCCCAATGTTCCTCTCTCGCGACTCTTCACTAAAGATGATTGTCAATTTTTTCTTTACAGATAATTGAAAAATTGTGAGGCTTAGCAGTCATTTATTTTACCTTCAGCTTTGGTGTTCAGGTTACAGTGATCAGCTTTTACATCCTTGGATTAAGCCCTAGCACTGCCTCTCCCACCCCCCAGAACTCCTGTGTTTGTACATGTAACTGTCTCCCTGCCTCCCTCGCTCCCCCATTCCCTCTCTCTCTCTCTCTCTCTCTCTCTCTCTCTCTCTCTCTCTCTCTCTCTCTCTCTCTGTGGGTGTGTGTGTTATTCATCTATAAAAGTTTCTAAGAATTCTGATTCTTCCCTCGATGGAATAACACAGAATGCGTCCTGTGACACGATGGGCTGACGTGATGTACACATATCCCTTGACTTTTCTTCTAACCAGGAGCTTTTAAGCATTGACTGGCAACACTGTAACCCAGAGTACTTCACTGGTAGATTTCCTAGTTTTTCCATGACCCTGGCTGAGCAAATGTTCTTTAGATTTGACCTAGAAAACCCTTCTTGTGTGTTTTGTAGCTTCACAAGCCACTTTTAATGTGCCTTCCTCGTTTGGGCCACCCACTGTGATTTCTGTCCTGGATTCCCTGAGCCACATACCCATGATGGGATGGTTAGGTGATGTGGATGGATGGCTGTTTGTGTAAGGGCTGAAAACTAGTTTTCTAAGATGAGAGGGCAGGGCAGTGACTTGTACTCTGAGGCCCTTCTCCTCCTCTGCTGGAGCTTTTCCCAGCACTTCCTCTTGGTTCCCTGTGTTTAAAACAAGTCATCATAATTGTTAGGTAAAAGAGAAATCAAGACTTAGACAGTTGGGCTTTTAATGACTTCTTCAGTTAGGTAAGACTAAAAGTTCAGTAAATAATTCATGATTTTTATGGTAGTTATTTGATTGTTTTAATTCTTTGGCAGGCACTGAAGAAATTAAAAGAAATTCAATAGAAAGTAATAGTGACCCTGAAGGGAAGAAGTATAGTAACCAAACTTTGGAGTCAACTTTAAATGTTAAAACAAAAAGACCATTCATTCCACCAACTCAAACCACCTTATCATGTCACTTCTTTTGAGTGAGGAGAGAAAACCTTTACAGAAGACCTGGAAAGATCATCAGGTCTGGAACTGAAAGACATGTTGAAGCCTCACTAGAACGAGTTCTTTATTCATTTGGTGGGCAGCCATTTTGCTAAGGAGCACTTTTTGTTAAAATTTGTAACCAACCCCCCCATAGGTTATATCTCCTAGAATGATCTTGAACATAATAGCTACAGTAAGGAGAATATAAGGAGTTATTAATGTGAATGGAAATCAGGACAGTTTTTTTTGAGTTGGAGTCTCACTCTGTTGCCTAGACGAGTGCAGTGGCACGCTCCTGGCCACCGCAGCCTCAGCCTTCCAAGTAGCTGGAACTATAGGCACGTGCTACCATGCCCGGCTAATTTTTTATTTATTGTAGAAACGAGGTCTTGCCAAGTTGCGCAAGTGGGTCTTGAACCCACAGGCTCAGGCAATCCACTCACCTCGGCCTCCCAAAGTGCTGGAATTATAGACTGAGCCACCAAGCCCAGCCTCAGGACAGTTTTTAAAACGTAACACTTCTGATATTTCTAGAGGCGTAGGGACATGTGCACATACAGGACTTGGTGTCCCTCTGTGCTCTTAGAGACTGTTGAGTTGGCACCAGATATGGCTGTGGAGAGAGCTCTTTAAACATGGCCAACTATGGGTGTGTCCTTCTGTCTCAGAAGGAAGGACTGAAGGAGGCCTAGATTTGTGAGATGAGCTGTCTTCTCTTGCCAGCTTCTGCAGCCATCAAAATGCTGCAGGCTTTAGTTGTATGCCAGTTCCCAAGCTGAGCTGTCTCCTCCAGTGGTGGAATTGGTTATTTGTTTAAAAAAACCCAAACAAACAGAAAGTTAATTCTTTCTATATAACTCAGAACATTTTTTTTCCCTGCTGAGGCTAAAATATTTATTCTCCTCTAGGAAGAGGAGTAGAGAAAAAGAAAGCAATTAAAAACAAGAAAAGCAAAACTAGATACATTCTAAATTTCACAAGCATTTTTCAAAAAGATACAAAATATATTTTTTTAAAGAAGATTGCTATTAATTAAAAATTACATCAGAGCAGCCTTCTAGTCTTTGATTTTTATCCACATAAAGAACTAACTGTTATGAAATGGGAAGGCGGAGAAGGCAGGATCTTTGTTAGTGTTTCTGGGAGTTACAGTTGGCAAACAGATTTTCCAGGTGATTCTATGGCTTGTTAGAAGGTTGAGATGAGACTTTCTTGCATTTCTCCTCAGTTGTAACTTTGTGTCCATTTCTCTAGACAAGTGGAGATCTGTAGTTGATACTTGTCATGTTTTTTAGCATCAGCTGTTGAGAATAGATCCCCTTGGTCCTTTAAACTAAAGCTGCAAAAAAAAAAAAAAGGCAAAAAGGCCGGGCTCATTGGCTCAGCCTGTAATCCCAGCACGTTGGGAGGCCGAGGTGAGTGGATTGCCTGAGCCCATAGGTTCGAGACCCACCCGGGCAACTTGGCACCTTGTCTCTACACTACATCAAAAATTAGCTGTGCGTGGGTGGTAGCATGCGCCTGTAGTTCCGGCTACTTGGAAGGCTGAGGTGGAAGGTTTGCCGGAGCCCAGCACGTCGAGGCTGCCGTGGTTGGATGCGTGCCACTGCACTCCAGTCTGGGTGACAGAGTGAGACTCCAACTCAAAAATAAATACATAAATAAAGCAGCAGCAGCCTCTCTCTTCCCCTCCCCTCCCCTCCCTTCCCTTCTTGATGTCTCATTCTGTTGCCCAGACTGGAGTGCAGTGGCATGATCACGACTCACTGCAACCTCAACTTCCTGGGCTCAGACAATCCTTCTGGCTCAGCCTCCCAAGTAGCTGGGACCACAGGCACAGGCCACCAAGCTTGACTACTTTTATTTTTATTTTATTTTTGAGTCAGAGTCTCTGTCTCCCAGGCTGGAGTGCAGGGGAGTGCAGGGGCATGCTCACTCTAGCATCGACCTGCTGGGCTCAGGCAATCCTTCCACTTCAGCCTTCCAAATAACTGGAACTACAGGCACGCACCACCCCATGCCTGGCTAATTTTTTTGATATACTGTAGAGACAAGGTCTCACTAAGTTGTCCAGGCTGGTCTCAAACCCCTGGGCTCAGGCAGTTCTCTCGCCTCAGCCTCCCAAAGTGCTGGGATTACAGGCTTGAGCCACTACACCCAGTCTATTTTTAATTTTTTTGTAGAGGTGAGGTCTTACTGTTGCTTAGGTTGGTTTCAAACTCCTGGGCTCAAGAAATCTTCCTGCCTCAGCCTCCCAGAGTGCTGGGATTATAGGCATGAGCACCTGGCCATCAGCCTGTCTTCTGTATTAAGTAGTCAGTAATTCTGTAGCAATTGATGAGGGTTCTGGGCACTTTTTGCATTGGCCTGGCGGTTCAAAGGTATGAGGGTATTAGGGAAGAGGGCTGGGTTTAAATCATGGCTGCTCATTTCCCTGGCTTTACCCATTCTGATTCTCCCAAGGAGAGGACATGCCTGAGTGGGAGGTGAGTGGGGATAAATCTAAATATATCTCCTCCCAGCCATTTTGAAAACGGTTTTCCAACTTGTGCTTTTTCTGAAATAGTTCTGCCTCTTTGTTAGCAAATACACCTAGAGGTAACCGTTTCTGTACAGCCTAGGCCGTCAGTGGTGTTACTGGTGGTTGTGTCATTGCTCGGCTTCTTTCTCTGTTTCAGACCGGAACATGAATATTTTGCAGTACTGCCCCTCTTCTGACATCTGGACGCTCTTTGAAACATGTGACGTCCACATTCGCAAGCAGCAGATGGTGTCTGTGGAGGAGACCATCTACATCGTGGGAGGGTGTCTCCACGAGCTGGGGCCCAACCGGAGGAGCAGCCAGAGCGAGGACATGCTCACCGTGCAGTCCTACAACACTGTCACCCGGCAGTGGCTCTACCTCAAGGAGAACACGTCCAAATCGGGTCTTAACTTGACTTGCGCACTCCATAATGACGGCATCTACATCATGAGCAGAGATGTGACCCTGTCCACCAGCTTGGAGCATCGGGTTTTCCTCAAGTACAACATCTTTTCAGATAGTTGGGAAGCCTTTAGGCGTTTTCCAGCCTTTGGACATAACCTCCTGGTTTCCTCTCTTTATCTGCCCAATAAGGCAGAAACATGACTGAATTGACTTGGTATTTAAAAGAAACCTGGTTCAAGACAGAAAAGATTGTGGTGTCCCATTTCTAGGAAGACTGATTTCTAAAGGGAAAGTAGGGGTTAAAGTAGGTCACGCATATGCAGTAGCAGCTGTAAATAAGCTTACTTGATCTAATTACTTGAGCACTCGTGGAGAAAAGAGACCAACTTTTTTTTTAAATTATTGATTTTTAAATTATGGGAGCAAATCCATGATAATGTTTTCTCCAAACGTGATCTCTTGGGCCAGTGACTGAAACTGATCATCAAAAAGTAGATTCATTGTGTCTGCTTGGTAAAGGGCCAAAGTCAGTGACTAGAATGAAGGTGATTTTAAAATCTGTTTTATTTAGGTCCCTTGAAATACCATTAGTACCTTAAGTGAGAAATTTTCTTTTTTTTTTTTTCAATGTACTTGACAAACATTCATATTAACATTGTAATTCTCTCTACCCTGCCTCAATCCTACCCGCACTTCTAGTGTGTTAAATAGTGTTCTGTGTTCAGGTATTTTGTTTGCACACTACGTTTCAGGAAACTTAAAATTATGGAACCCCACAGTGAATCCTTGCAAGTGTTCAGTCCTCCCCAAAATTTACATAAAAACATTCTCAGCTATTTTTCCAGTCCTTTTTGCAATTACAAATGATAGATAAATAGACTGATACAACCTCTTATTTTATTTATGTGGCACATTGCATATTTATGTGGTCATATAGGTTGCATTGGTAGGTGTTCTGTACTGTTTAAAATAGAGGATATATTGTTTAAAAGGATGGATATATGTATATTTTTAAAAATTGAGTCTTAAATATGAATCAAGGGAAGGGAGGGAAACACCAAATAAGGAAAAACGTTTGCCTTTAAGAGTTACTTTTATTGAATGTATTTGACTTCATTCTTATTTTAAGGCTGAAAATGAACCTTATCTTCTTTAAATCAGGCAGCTTTCTAACCTAATCTTAACTTTGTAATTGATGCTTTGCTTTTGTGGACTGAGGTGAGGATAGCTGTAAAACATTTGTGCTGGAGAGAGAGGAAGAAGTGGAATGGCTTCTGGTGGTGTTTCTGAAATTATGTAAAGTGCTTTACTTGTCTTGTTTTAACTCAAATAGAGCTGAGCAGTTGTTTTCACTTAAGTCAGTTAATAGCAAACAAAAGTTGCCAATTGTAGATCAACATTTCTTAAAAAATGTATACTCAAACTTAGGGGAATTTTAGTTTGATTGAAAAATACTTTCTGAAATTACCTGATATTTTTTAATGGAATCAGTTAACCTGTGAACTAGATTCCATCTTTCTGCACAAACAGCAGGCAGAACCATTTCAGTTGCAGCATGCCTCTCTTTAAGGAAGTCCTATAGGAAAACAAAAACTGTCACAGTAAATGCATGCATTCAACACTTACTGAGTGCCTGCAGTATGCCGTCCACTGTGCAGATATAAGACGGAGTAGGTGGTAATCACTTAACAGAGCTCTTCAGTTTATTAGAGGAGTCACTACAGGGTTTCTTTATAACCATGGCCTCTAGTATATTTAAATAAGGGTCCAATTATAAAAATTCTATTTGCACAACTTGTCAGGAATACGTCTATAAGTAAAATGAGGTAAGCCTTTATTTTGGACAGAGAAACAAATCTTTGTATCTTGTCACCAAATAAGCTTATCAATAATCTACTTATAATTTTTTAAGGATTTCTAAGCTGTGTCCCTATATTCCCAAATATTAAGTCCTTTTTAAAAAAAATAAATAAATAACTTCTGAACCAAAATATCCCTGGGAATAGTTGTTGAATAATAGATTTATATTAATTTATATTCATTGTAAAATAAATTTCCAGTGACCTATAATTTCATTACATATATCTTAAAATCTAATTTATTTTAGATAGTTTAACTTTTTGTTCATATAAAGCTTAACTTTTTAAAGGCTTGAGTCTATAAATTCAGAAGATAAGCCAGTTTAATTAGTGTCGGACAAACAATTGGAGATTAGCTTGTTAACAATCACATCATGTAAAATAGAATATTATTCCTGCCAAACAATTATCTTCGGGGCTGCATCATTGGGTCTGTTTTCCTAATGCTGAAAATTAGATTCTTGGACCAAGTGAAGGTATAATCTGATCCACAAAGCTTTTTTATAAACCAGGTTTGGGGTGTGTGTGTGTGTGTGTGTGTGTGTGTGTGTGTGTGTGTGTGTGTGTGTATACGTATATATGCTTGTATATTATAGCTCTCTCAGATACACAGACTTCCGTCAGGATTTGGTTCCTCTGGGCTGCCAGCCATGCTTGGCAAAGGTGGGATGTGCAATAGGAACAGAGCTGTGGATTTTGTGTTGTCATCCTTCCTGCTGTGCACATCAGCTGTGTTGACATTTTGAGGGTAGTTTTAATTTAGCTTTGTTCTCCTGTTGGTGCCAATGTTATATTGAAGACTACCTATGATGAAGGCCATTTTTTTAAAAAAAAACTCCCTTCATCCCCCAGGAGTGTCCTTAACTCTGATAGCATCTCTATTTTCTTCCCATTTTCTTATCTAAATGCTTTATCCATTTTTTTCTAAGATGCTGACCTCCCACTATGGAGAAAGGGTTTGCTGGAAAGATTTCCAGTGACAGCCAGTAGTACCCTATTTTACAGAGAATGGTATGAGTGGTAGAGAGTGAGTCCTGTGTTCGGGTTGGTAAAAGGAGGTTGTTGGTCCTTTCTGTCATTCTTTCTGACTTTCTTTTCAACTGCCTTAGTTTCAGAGGCCTCTCCCCTTAGCATCGTTTAAAGGGTTTTCTGATGAATGTTTAAGTGTTGATTATTTCAACAGTATTGGTTAAGTCATAATGAAGTACTGAGAAGGTTATACTAGTAAGAAACAAACAGAAGGCTCAAGATTAAGCATAGAAACCAAAGAGAATTTAACTCCAACATTTTTTTTAAACACCAAGATCCCAAGAAATTCCAAATGCCTTAGATATCAAAGCTATACAGCACTGAAATAAAGTTCTTTCTCTGCAAAGGGAGTAATCAAGTAAATGCCTGTTCTCTTTCAAAGAACAATTGCTTACTGAGCATGGTGGATACAGCGTTTTCAGATTTCCAGGTAAAGTTATGATCCTGCCTGTTTGGCAGAAGAGGGAAATTGAGAGGCAAGGTCTTAGTCTTCCTGATCAGCCAGCATTTAACGAGCAGTGGTTTAATGCAGATCACTTGGGAGGCAGCATAGCAACATAGAGGGATATGAGTGAGTGTTGGATGCCTTTTTCCTAGACCAAGATGGGGAATATATAACATCTATTCTGCTGTTCTTTGAAGGTGGCATTTTGAAGGAGTGTAGCACTCTTCCTCCCTGGTTTCAGAATCCATATCGTATCAATGCTTCCAGACATCTGTTCCCAATCCATCAGAGTAAAATAAAGCCTGTTGCCATCCCTGCCCTAGACATTCGAGTGAAAGTGTTAAGTGGGTAGACAGCAAATAAAATGGCTTTGAAAGCAGTGAGCTGATCAGCTCAGTTTCCTGGTTACCAGAAATACTTACTGAATGTTTGTTATGTGCAAGACAACGCTAAGAACAGGGGATACCAGCATAAATAGGCCCGGTCCCTGATCTTGAAGAGCTTGAATATTCACCGTAATTGTCTTCACCAGGGCATCCTTCTCAAAGATACCCACTTTTGTCAGGCACTGGGGGCTCTCTGTTCCTGTGGCCTCTTAAGTCTTGGTCCTTAATCTGTCCTTTGCTTCATGATTGACTAACAGTTGTCACAAACCAGTTTTTTGTTTGTTTTAATTTGAGCATCACATCCTATATTTTTGTGGGGGTTTTTTTGCTGTATTTTTTTTTTCTCACCACTTTTCATAGTCTTCTCTGAACTTCATTTTTGTGGAAAAATGGAAGCTACATGTAATCTGCTTTATTTACAAATACTCCCTAAACACTAGCCTTTGCAGTTGAGCGCTCCCCAACTTGGTCCAGTGAAAGGGAGGAGCAAAGTCCGTGAAGTTAGTACCAAGAGAGGCAAACCAACCGCACGTGTGCTTATGCTATGCCTTTGAAACCCTCCCACAAAAAGTATTAGTAAAGAAATAATCATTCTGCACTGGTACTGATGAAAAGTCAGTTGATTTTTGCCTTTGTGGTACTTGTCAAAGGATAGTTTTTCATTCTTATGCTTCATTCATATATGATTGTTCTTCGTTTTCTATATTAACTTAGGCATAAATTCACACCAACTGGCACATGCTGACTTCCGTGTTGACATAACCATTTTTATTCATTCCTATAGGAAACATTAAATATAAAAGATGGTCAATTTTGAAGAACAAAAGGGTGCTGAAATGACTTAGAGAGTTGGCTGGTGCTTTCTCAAATGGATGCCATAGTTTATTACTAGTAAAGAAAAGGAAAATGTGATTTGCATTATTGTGTGTGTCATTTTTTTCTATCAAGAACCTTAGGAATGGGGCACTTTAGCTGTCCCTACAATGTTTTCGTGTCTTGTAGTCATTTTAAGGAAAACAATAATCTGTAGAATGAATAGATATGTTTTGTTATCACTGATACTTTCTTTGTTAAAAAGGTTGTATTGAGTCTTCAATTTCAAGTGTAGCTTAAGAGTAAACATTATATGATTGATTTGAATACAATGATGCCTATGAAGCACTCACTATAACAGTATTCATTTTGTGTTGATACTAGAACTATAGAAGAAATTCTCTTCAAATAAAATAGTTCTCAATCACTATTGTATTGTCTGTTAGGTTCTCTGTACCTGCTGTGAACTCAGGGCTAGGGCAGGACTGGGAGGAAATGGGGGAAGCACGAGCCAGGTCCCTGCCAGTGAAGAGCTCCCAATTCACAGGGAAGGTGAAACACCCGTAACCCAGTTAGGGCGTACCCATTGGAATGCTGTGCATGGCAGCACGGGCAGTGAGACCTATTAGAGTTTAGAAGAGAGGCATCTGCCAGGAACAGGTGTGCTGGGAGACGCATTAGAATCCTTAGCATCCCTGAATCCCTCAGCCCTATTGTATGGTCTCGGAACCCTTATAATTCTGAATAAAAGAACAAAAAGTCTAGGCCAGGTGTGGTGGCTCGCACCTGTAATCCTAGCACTTTGGGAGGCCAAGGCAGGAGAATTGCTTAAGCCCAGGAGCCCAGACCAGCCTGGGCAGCATAGTGAGACCTCATTGCTCAAAAAATAAAAAATTAATAAAAAAACTACAGGTGCGGTGGCACATGCCTGTAGTCCCGCTACTCAGGAGGCCGAGGTAAGGAGGAATACTTAAGCCCAGGATTCCGCTGAGCTGTGAACATGCCAGTGCACTCCAGACTGGGCAACAGTGCAAGACCCTGACTCTAAAGATAGTTTTTAAAAATTTATGAAAAAATGAACTATTTTGTATATGCCCAGGGCACACTAGTGGAGGAGAAGGATGACTGATGCAGCAAGACAATACCCAGCGCTAATTGAGCACTTAATCTATGCCAAGTATTATTCTAAGTATTTATATTTTGCTTTATTTTTTGAGTTGGAGTCTCTGTCACCCAGGCTGAAGTGCAGTGGCACGCTTATTGACACTGCAGCCTCAACTTGCTGGGCTCAGGCGATCCTTCCACCTCAACCTTCCAAGTAGCTGGGACTACAGGCATGCACCACCACGCCTGGCTAATTTTTTGGTTTATTGTAGAGATGAGGTCTTGCTGAGTTGCCCATGCTGGTCCCAAACCCATAGGCTCAGGCAATCCTCTTGCCTCAGTCTCCCAAAGTGCTGGGATTTCAGGTGTGAGCCACCGCACCCAGCCCTCTTCTAAGTATTTTAAATTTAATGTATTTAATTCTCACAACAATCTCATGATAAATATGAATATTATCCCTACTGTATAGTTGAGTTCATTGAGACATTGCAGGTTACAAGTTGCCATTTGGCAAAGAAGACAAGGAGATACTATATACATTGGTCACTAGTCCAAAGTAAATGCTTCTTCCTGCTGTTAGAGGCTAGCAAGGACCTCCGTCCTGGTGGAGGAGTGGTTTCTGGATCAGCTAATCTGGGAGCCCTCGGCTCTGCTTTGCAGCAGAGTGTTCCCTGGCTGTGCCTGGGTGGGTGTGTGCCCATGGGGCAGCCCTCGTCTTGTAGGTATGTGGAGTGAAGCTTGAATATCTCTGGAGAGTCTGAGAAACCCCAAGCTCCTGTGTGCAGGCCATAAACATTTCTTAGGCAAGAATACCCTTTAAAAACTCAACTCTATGCTGGTAGATCTAATCTCTGGCAACTCTGTGGGCTAAAGGCCAAGATGTTGTGGAACTCTTGTTTCTTTTTATTTTATGTATGTATGTATATATGTATTCATTTTTTGAGTTGGATTCTCACTCTGTCGTCCAGGCTGGAGTGCAGTGGCACGCTCACAGCCACCCCAGTGTCGACCTGCTGGGCTCCGGCGATCCTTCTGCCTCACCTTCCAAGTAGCTGGAACTACAGGTGTGTGCCACCACACCTGGCTAATTTTTGATTTTTATCGTAGAGAAGAGGTCTCACCAAGTTGCCCGGGTTGGTCTCGAACCTGTGGGCCCAGGTAATCCACTCTCCTTGGCTTCCCAAAGTGCTGGGATTACAGGCTGAGCCACTGAGGTCGGCCCTATTTATTTTTTAAGAGACAGTGTCTCACCTTGTTGCCTAGGCACAGGAGTCTCGACCTGCTCTGTTTCTGACTTGGGCTGGTTCACTCTTCCTTAGGCAACTGGGTGACCCCTGTTCCCAGCAGGTCACCACATTGCTGCCAAACTTAGTGCAGACACCCCATCAGCATAGCACACTACAGCCCAGAACTTCCGGGCTCAAGTGATCCTCCTGTCTCAGCCTCTCAAGTAGCAACAGGTACTACAGGTGTGCATCACCACACTCTGTGAGCCCAGTTTCTTGAACTTACAGCCCACCTTTATGATTTGTCTGTAAGCCACAGACTTCCTGCCTATACCCTTGGATTGATGGCGTCCATCTCTCCCTCAGTTTTGGGATAACCTGAAGCAATAGGGGTCAATTCTTGCTAGACAACATCCCAGGGAATGCTGCTTTAGTAGAAATAATTACCCCTGTATGGGCAGGAGGTGTTTGGCAGGGGTTTTGGGAATGAAATTCCCATACTATTTCTCTGCCTCCTCCAAGGGCCTAGTCCTGTGATATTCTCCTGACTGTTCATATACCTTCCACTGAAGCAGAGAACTTGGCTCCCACAGTTCAGCAAGGGATGTTTTGTCTGGCCCTCTGTAGTCTCCTGGCTGCAGGAAGAAGGGTAAAAAGCAGGGACTCTAGAGCAAGCTTTGGTTAGGCTACTTCATCTCCCTGGGCCTCAGTTTCTTTATCTGTAAAATAGGACAATAATATCCACACTATGGAATTGTAAATTCCACGAGAAAGTCTACAAGAAGTACTCAGAAGCGGGCACACCCGAATGTGAGCTGTTGTTACCACCACACCTGTTGGCAGTTTTCTTTATACTTTCAAATGGCCATTTTGCCTGGAAGCTTAGGCCTTTCCTGAAATATCCTGCTGAAGCCGTTAAGAGGTAGCTAACAAATTCCAAGATCCTGGCACATTTCCATTACTTATTCCAAAGAGCTGGCTGGAATGGTCTGAATCCCAAGACAGAGCAGTGGAATCAGTTGCTTTGCTTTCCACACGAGGATGGGGATGGGAGAATCCTACCTATCCCATCCCTCTCCTTGATTTAACTGTTTCCATATTCTAACTTTAGATATTTGCAACATCCCATCCCAAATACCAAACCTATTAAGACATTGATTGGACCATCCCAGGGTCCACCCCTGAGGTAACTGCTGGGGGGGGCGGCGGGCAGTGGGGGGACAGTGACGGAGAAGCTCTGACTCAATCATGGGGGGAGAATTCTTCTCAGATAATAGGGGTTTTGTTTATCAGAAGAAGGGGGTGTTGACCGTTGAGCCACTGAAAGACCAGTGGAACAACTTGTTGATCAGGGAAGGCCACATTTGTTATGCTTACCCATGTGAGGGAAGATACCACTTTGAAGAGTTTCATGGTTTCTTGGAAGAGGGAAGTCAGGTTTTTGAGCCTGAGCTGTGTAGGTCTTGAGACTGGGCAGAGTTTCTGATATAAAAATTTGGGGCACAGGACTTTGTGGGCAGAGTGTGATGAGAGTCTCAAAGCTAATCTTGATGAGTAATGGCTAACCTCGGAAGGTAAGCTAATTAGTTCATGGTGTCATAAAAGAAGTCTTATGAAAATACTTGTTCCTGAATACAGTTTTGGCTGTGTCTCTCTCAAGGTATGTAAATTTGTCTTATAGGATAGCTCTTAGGTACTTGTGTTCTTCCTGTCCTAGACTATGCTTTCTTTGAGGACAGAGAAAGTGTTTCATCTGTCTTTTTATCACTTTTTATCAGGGCATACATTGAAGCCTTTTACACAGCAGATTCTTAACCTATTTGTAGAATTCAGAAAGTTTTGAAGGCTTCCTGGGTTTTCTAAAAAGAAATATAGGTTTTTGGTTTATCTAACCCTAAAATTTCTTTACAGGGAATAACAGAGTGTCGTCTTGATGAACAAGTTTTTTGTTTTGGGTTTTTTTGTTTTTGTTTTTGTTTCTTACTTTTGAGTCAGGCTCTTACTCTGTCACCCAGGCTGGAGTGCAGTGGCATGATCATAGCTAACTGCAGTCTTGAACTCCTAAGCTTAAGAGATCCTCCTACCTCAGCCTCCTGAGTAGCTGGGAATGTAGGCACGCACCACTCTACCTGGCTAATTTAGAGATAGGATCTTGCTATGTTGCCCAAGCTGGGATAACTTTTATTAGGAAAACAGTATACTTTTCTACCAGTGTATGTAACCCATTAAGCAGAAGAAAGAAGTTTTGGCTTCTGACTGTGACTGAAAAGGAAATCTGTCTTCAGACAGCGGTAGTGTGAATGTCCAGGAGCTCAGAGGCATCGCAGGTAGGTGGAAGTTGGTCTCCATCACATCATTATTTTCTTGTTAGTGAAATCCAGATTAGGGCTTGAGTGATATTATCATCACTTACAGAACTATTTTTTTAGACTAAAATCTGAGTTGGATACCACAAATATACATTTACCAGGAGTTGAATGCTAGTAGGAAAGAGATGTGAGAGATGTCATTTCCCCAAAGTGTGCTGAGTCTATGATCAAGGTCCAGTGCTCTGCCTGTGGCCTGATCCCCTCATGGGCCCATGAAGGCCTTCCCGAGGGAAGGAAGCCCAGGGTGCAGAAGTAGCTCTGTTCATGCCACTTTCAGTCCTTGTGAATTTCCAGGTGGTGCTAGGTGGGAGGACAAGGAATCAGAGCAAGAAATCTAGAAAGAGACACTGTGATTCAAGTAGTTTGTGGCTGAAGGTGGTTTTTTTAATAAAATCTGGTTTGTCTGTATGTGTTTGCCTACTTTTACTGATGTTTCTGCAGCTGAAACAATATCTTTTAGGAAGTCAAGAGGGCACTGTATTAGCTTGCCAAGGCTGCCATAAAAGTACCACACACTAGGTGGCTTAGAACAACAGAAATATATTGTCTCACAGTTCTGGAAGCTAGGAGTCTGAAATCAAGGTGTTGGTAGGACCATGCTCCTGCTGAAACCTGAGGAGGATTCTTCTTTGCCTCCTTTTCCTCACTTCTGGTAGTTTGCTGGCAATCTGGTCTTCCTTGACTAGTAGCTACCTTCGTCTCTGCCTTCACTGTCACATGGCGTTCTCTCT